AAAAGAAAATAGTAGTAGTAAGAGTTGAGAGGCGGGCCGAAAGGGCTGAAACCTCCGGAAGCACAACTAGGTGAATACAGCTAGGTGAATACCCACACACACACACACACACACACACACACACACACACACACACACACACTCACACACACACACACACACACACCACACACACACACACACACACACACACACACACAGGTGGGACTAGTAATTACAAGAGAAAAGCAGTATATTCCCTGGAGCCACATGCTGGTCCAAAGACCCACAGAGAATATATTAATCTTAATAGTGGCTGTGAAAGTAAATTGGTTGATGCTAAGCGTGCATATATCACCATTAATTACTCCCCCATCCTCTCGGTGTATTGGTGGCTGGCTGGGATGATATTACTCCTCAACCTCTCCGTGTATTGGTGGCTGGCTGGGATGATATTACTCCTCAACCTCTCCGTGTATTGGTGGCTGGCTGGGATGATAATACTCCTCAATATCGTATTCAAATTCAGATTTCATTTAATACAGACACAGAAATATAGTTTTATCACAACATTTCTAGTATAAGAGAGATACGTTTGATTTTTTTGTATAGGGAAAATATGTTTGACATTTTGTATGTGAGAAATGTGTTTGATTTTTGGTTTAAGAAATATGTGACATTTTTTTTTGTATAGGAGAGATAGGTTTTATTTCTGCTCGAGAGAGTTGGCTAGAATAGCTTTCAAAGTTATGAACATTGTTCAAGACTAAAGTCAATTCTCGGTATATGTTCACTATTTATAAGTATTAAACACGTACAGTTTAGGCTTTGTTTACATGTATAACTGTGTTATAATATTGGGATCTTGCCTGGACAAGATCATTATTATTATTGTATTGTAATTACAGTAGTAATTACAGTGCAGTAACGTATTACAGTAATAATGTATTCTTCTGAGTATGGCATCAATATTCTTATTCTTCCTAGCTTATTTTTTATTTGAGTTCATCTTAGACAACAGCTAATATCCTTGGATAATGATGCACTTAAATTTCTTTATACTATCACTAGTTTGCTTTTAATATAGGAAACCATAGTTCATAATAATAATTTTCCAATTATGGCATTCAATAACAAGTGTTTTATACATTTATTTATGTTCTATGTATAAAACTACGTTAAAACAATACTTTCATTTACTTCTGAAATCATTTTGTTTGCAATTTGTTATTATTTATCAATGTTTACCGTGCCTTCAGCGATAAGGACTTGTTCTCGTGAAATCACTGCTCCAAAGACCAGCCTTTTGGACAGGGTTATTAAGAGTCAAACGAGGAGTAGACGACACACACAGAAATCACGATAACGTGAAGACCAGACCACACACTAGAAGGTGAAGGGACGAAGACGTTTCGGTCCGTCCTGGACCATTCACAATCGACTTGAGAATGGTCCAGGACGGACCGAAACGTCGTCGTCCCTTCACCTTCTAGTGTGTAGTCTGGTCATCATACTTTAGCCACGTTATTGTGACTCATCGCCTGTTCACGATAACGTGTTATATCAAATGAACAAATCCTCAAGGGCCGTGATGAGGGTTCGAACCGCCGCACAGTTCGTAGGTAAAGTTGTGGCACAGTTAACTAAGGCGCATCTGGGAACATCCATTGCGTAGGTTCGAACTCTCATCACAGCCCTTGTGAATTTTTTCATGAGGAGTAGACGAGGCTCCAGGACCCGCACCTGGTGTACTCCAAGAAGATCAAGGAGGTGCAAAACTTCCTCCGTCTTCACTCTCACCCGTTGATTGACGCTTTCCAAAAACATTTTTCCACTGCGTTGAAAGTCTATTGCTTTAATTAAACACAGCGTTTGTTAGAATGACTTTCACGTCAATTTCGAGTCTATTAATGGGGAATATGAACTACTCGAAGGGAGTCTTGGTGCTTAATGAGCTCCTGGTCATGGCCCTTAACCTGATGATAACGACCAACTAGTTAACAAAAGTTCATTTACAGTGCAATTACATTCACTTGTTGATTGTTTGTTGAGTTCTTCTTTCGGATGCCCTCGTGCGTCTGTTGACTGCGTACTTAATAGACCATTGCCCCACTGAGGATATAAAGTCCATCTTCTCGTATAGCATCAGGAAATGCCACTAGATAGTTAAGTGGAAATGCATGTGGGGGAGAAAACTTGAGGAGAAAATTTTGGAAAAAGTGTTCAGAAATTGCAGGGAGGGAAATGAAGAATGTGTGTGGGGGGGGGGGGAGAGAAGGAATTCAAGAGTAGGAAAGGAGTTGGGAGGAGGGGGAATAGGGGAGAGGAAGGAATTAGAGGGATGAAAGAAGTTGAGGAAGGGGAGGGGGGGGGGGATATGGGGGTTAGGGCAGGTATTGGAAGGTAGACGATGATGAGGAATTTGATAGCATGAGGTGGTGTTGTCAACCGTGAGAAGATAAATTGTGAGACTGGTGAACAAAGGTGTTCAGCTCAATAATGATACGAAATCATCCGATATCATTTATTTACGAATATTTTGTTATGAAATTTCTTCAAACAACGTAATGAGAAATGGTTAGAAAATGGGTATTTGAGGACATTCGAGAGGAGACGAGAGTTCGAGAGAGAGAGAGAGAAGAGAGAAGAGAAGAGACGAAGAGAGTTCGAGAGAGAGAGATAGAGAGAGAGAGAGAGAGAGAGAGAGAGGAGGAGAGAGAGAGCCGAGAGAGAGCAGAGAGAGAGAGAGAGCGAGAGAGAGAGAGAGAAGAGAGAGAGAGAGAGAGAGAGAGAGAGAGAGAGAGAGAGAGAGATGTTCCAAGCGACCAGTTGACAAATGTAATAGTATTAAAAACAGATAAACATTTTATAACTATTTGTATATATATATATATATATATATAATATATATATATATATATATATATATATATATATATATATATATATATATATATATATAGTATATATATATATGTCGTACCTAATAGCCAGAACGCACTTCTCAGCCTACTATTCAAGGCCCGATTTGCCTAATAAGCCAAGTTTTCATGAATTAATGTTTTTTCGTCTACCTAACCTACGTAACCTAACCTAACCTAGCCTTTTTTTGGCTACCTAACCCTAACCTTACCTATAATATAGGTTAGGTTAGGTTAGGTAGGGTTGGTTAGGTTCGAGAGATAGATTCTAGAGTTTATTTTAACTCCAGAGAGAGAGAGAGAGAGATCAGAGATAGAGAGAGAGAGAGAGAGAGAGAGAGAGAGAGAGAGAGATAGATCAGAGAAAACTTGGCTTATTAGGCAATCGGCCTTGAATAGTAGACTGAGAGCGTGAAGTTTTGCTACTAGGGACGACATGTAATAGTATATAAGGATAAAGGAGATACAACAGTTGTTATAACTATATATTGATATATGTAGTCTTTTAACGATATATATATATATTATATATATATATATATATATATATATATAATACAAATAGTTATAAAAGGTTTTATCTGTTTTTAATACTATTTTTTTAATATATATTTTTTAATATATATTTTATATATATATATATATATATATATATATATATATATATATATATATATATATATATATATATATATATATATATATATATTATATATAATATATATATATATATATATGTTGTTGAATATGACCGAAAGGGTTACATTAATTAAACTCTTCAAAGTTCATTTTCACACTATATTATAGTCTGACGTCTAAGGATGCGTTTCGCAAGGCACTCAATACATTTTCAAGGACAAATTTTTAAAGCCAAAGCTTATATTCGCTTGGGGTGAGGTGTACAGGCCGTGATTGAGATGAACAAGTAAATGAATGGCATAATGGGTATTAATAGGCCAATAAATCCCTATATTCTTCCTTCTACTGTCTCTGTATTGGTGCGGGGTCTGGAAGTGGGTAGAATGTGATTATGTGTTAACTGGCGGTTGATTGCTGGTGTTGACTTTTTGATGTGTAAGGCCTAGATGCTGTCCAGTCTTCTGGGGTCGTTATACATGTCGATTATTTTAGTGTTGGTTGTTAAGATTTCTCTGGTGATGGTCTGGTTGTGTGAGGAGATTATATGCTCCTTGATGGAGCCCTGTTGTTTGTGCACTGTTTATAGCCTAGAGAGAGACGTTGTTGTCTTGTCTGTATACGGAGATCTTTGGGCTGACCGTCCCCAAGTGGGCATGTGAAGGCATAGACGTCGTTGGTCTCTTTTTAAGGCGTTCTGTTTGGTGTCTGGAGAGTTTTCGTAAGTAGGGTGGCCGTCTTCTTGTTTTTGTAGTAAATTGTTAATTGTATCTTCTGATTTGTGTCTGTAGGGATAACGTTCCTATTAATAATATCTTTCAGGACACTTTCCTCCATTTTATGAGCCGTCAAAAAGAAGTTCCTGTAAAACAGTCTAATAGAAGGTACAAGTGTTGTACTGGTTGCTTCTTCAGAGGTTGCATGGCGTGTCACCTTTCTTTTAATGACGTTTATTGACTAGGACCTGCCTAACTCTACAGAGTTCCTCTTCGACCTGCTTCCAGCCAGAGCTGTGAGTGAGAACCCGGGTAATGTAAGCATTGACAACACTCCGCTTGTACCTGTCCCAGCAGTCACTATTGACATTAAGGCACATTCCTATGTTCGTTTCCTTAGTCTAGACTGTAGTGTAGTGACTGCCCGGTCAGGTACATATTATCACGTTAGTGTGAGTTAATAATTCCTTATATGAATTATAGTTAATCATTGCAAGTGGTAACAGTGGAATTATATTGAGTTATTATGCAGTAATACTAAGTTTAACTTTTGCTATAGGAGACATCACCCGAACATTGTAACCTTGGTTATCTTGAGGTTATCTTGAGATGATTTCGGGGCTTTTTAGTGCCCCCGCGGCCCGGTCCTCGACCAGGCCTCCACCCCCAGGAAGCAGCCCGTGACAGCTGACTAACACCCAGGTACCTATTTACTGCTAGGTAACAGGGGCATAGGGTGAAAGAAACTCTGCCCATTGTTTCTTGCCGGCGCCTGGGATCGAACCCAGGACCACAGGATCACAAGACCAGCGTGCTGTCCGCTCGGCCGACCGGCTCTCCGACCTGTTAGTCTCACTACCATAGTTTACTTCACAATGTTCGAGTGGTGATCAATGGAAGTGGAAGCAAAAAATGAACTAAGTGTAGTGGCATCATCCATGCCCGTCTTCTGAAAAAGCTATAAGAAAGGGGAGAGGATCCCATCCCCCTATCACTGTGTCCCGAAGCCTGGGCGCATCCGATCCCACGATGTCTCGTCCCCACAAAACAATAAACTAAGCAGTGGCGGACGTCGTGTTTCTTATGTACATAGATGGCCGCTGGTGCCGGAGCGTCTATATATATATTCTCTGGGCATGATACATAGTCGTTACGAAAGTAGAGTTCGTGGAAAGTCGTACCAGATATTTCAGAGGCAACTTGAGGTGGGAGATTCAGACAACGGAGCCTTCTTCAGAGTCGGCGAGAAGCTTTCAGCCTCCAGTCGCTCTGCCTGCTGCGGTATTGCACCTGTTGAAGGAGCCTCTCTCAGCGTTGGGTAGAACCCTGCAAACATCTGTCTCTCTGTCTGATGCAGTGATACACCTGTCGTTACTGAAAACCCTGCAGGAACCAGTCGCCGCCTCTGATGCTTTGTTACATCTGCCGTCGGAGCCTCCCACGGCGTTGGAGGTAACGCTACAGGCACCTGTCCATTCGTCTGATCCAGTGGTACATCTGTCGTAGGAGCCTCACTCAGCGTTGAAGAGAAGCCTGCAGCCACCAGGCGCACTGCTTGATGCCGTGATACACCCGCCACCGCAGGCTCAGAAAGTCTCCTGTAGCATATATGGTCTGTCGCTACTCGTTCCTCTCTGTTTTGACACGGGATAAGACTGCAAAAAATAAACGATTATATATATATATATATATATATATATATATATATATAATATATATATATATAGATATATATATATATATAATATATATATATATATATATATATATATATATATATATATATATATATATATATATGACTTGTGTTGGAGAAGTATAGCAGATATATTTGAAAAGCATATTAATATTGCACAGCAAACATCTTACTGATTAGATGATAGTTATTATCAGTGTTAAAGAATATAATATCAATAGGAATTCTTATTTATATAGAAAATGAAGCTGTAATACCTCTTCACCAACATCTCCAGGAGGACGCATCCACCGCACCCATACCGGGCCCGTGAGGAAAGGAACTTCCTACAAGGGAAACTCGGTTTCCGAATCCCACCTTGGACTACAACAAACCGTACCTCTCCCTGGCCTCCCTCAACAGAGGAATCCGGAGGAACGGATACCCGCCGGAACCTCATGTCCAGATGTTATGTCCGCTACTAGAACAAGCGGCCGTTACACACACCAATTCTCCCTCTCAGGGTCAGTATCACCACACCAGCGCCTTGCACAACCTCCGAGGCATAACACTCCGGCTACACCGCGAACAATTTCCTCCATTTGGCCCAGATCATCGCTACCCTTCCGACGTCATTTCCTATTAGCACCTTGAACACTGGATTCATCAACAACAGCAGAGCAGATCACGCGGCTGGGGAATAAATCTGTCTCACTGGGAAGTGTAACAGCCAGTCCACCATTTGTATGGTGGACTGTTTGAACTGAAAGATCCCTCTCTCTGGCTTCGAATCGGGGGCCAAGACCTCCCTCCAGGCCACATCTCTCACATTCAAGTGCGCCATCCGGAGTACTTGAAAGCAAGTTGTTGTTGTTGTCGTTGTTTTAGGTTCAGCTACGTAGAACAAAACGTTCTAAGTAGCACGGGCTATGGTGACCCCGTATTGGACTTGCCTCTGGGACAGGGGCGGGGCTGTATGTAAGAGCAAGTTGGTTGCTTGCTTTTAAGAACACCGTACCTTACTCTAGACCAAGAAGGAACTTCCTCCTTACACCAATCCTATTGCCCACAGTCTTCATTGATTTTAGTTCTCACTTCACCTCATCGCGCGTGGTGTAAAATGGATAATTAATGTTTACAAAGCAAAGAATGCAAAGCGAAGCACAGAACTCGACAGTTGGTATACAAACCTGGATTTTATCGTTTCTTTCGGTGTGAGATTCTTAGTCATGACCTTGAAAGTCTTACAGGTGACGCGGGAGAGGTCAAGCAGTCCCTCCTCCAGGGTGCTGAGGTCCAGTATGGCCCGGGTATCGAACCCAAGACGGTCACACAGCTTCTGAGTGTATGGGCTTGTTGCTCGTAAGTAGGCTAGTTGACAGCCTTGTTTGGCGCCCAGGTCCATGCTTTTCTGAAAGTCGCAGTAATGTCCGCTATACACAGTCTCGTGAGAGTTATTAAGGTGTAACAAGCTGTTATGAGAAGAGGTTTTCTCATGGTCTTATTCTATAGGACAAAAGTTATCTTTCTCTTTTCAATTATGAATTTATTCCACAATAAAGAGGGTGTTTGTGATTAGTGTATCGTAATATGGAGAGGGGAATAGGGTTTAAAACCCAACTGCATCATTACCAGAGCATTACAGATTGTTCAACACCCAGGTGGTTCAACACCCAGGTGGTTCAACACCCAGGTGGTTCAACACTCACCTGTACCAACATCCGTGCGACGCCTCGGCTGCCATAGTCGGGTTGAACACAGAAACGAGTCAGTCTCTGAACACACTCCACCCCACGATCCTCAGATAAGTCCAGCATCCCCTCAAGAATGGTCTTAACCTTGAGAACCTTCAACTGAAGAGAGAAGAACAATATATATATATATATATATATATATATATATATATATATATATATATATATATATATATATATATATATATATATATATATATATATATATGACAGTGTCAGACCACAGAGGAAAATTGAAACAGGAATTTCCTTAAGTACTCTCGTATATTAAATACATCTTCAGAAGGAGTGAAGTGTCAGAAGAGTGAAGTGTCAGAAGGAGTGACAGTGTCAGACAGTTGTTTGACACTGTCACATTTTTAATCACGTGTTTTATTTTCGTGATACACACCACACACACACACACTTATTATATATATATTATATATATATATGATATATATATATATATATATATATATATATATATATATATATATATATATATATATATATATATATATATATATATAACTGAAAACTCACACCCCAGAAGTGACTCGAACCCATACTCCCAGATGCCACGCAACTGGTATGTACAAGACGCCTTAATCCACTTGACCATCACGACCGGACATAATGAGGTGATAGCCGAGGCTATTTGAACCACCCCACCGCCGGCACTCGGATAGTAATCTTGGGCATAGCATTTTACCAAATCCCTCATTCTTTGGGGCAACACGTGAGGAACACAAATGCGAACAAGCCTGAATGGTCCCCAGGACAATATGCAACTGAAAACTCACACCCCAGAAGTGACTCGAACCCATACTCCCAGATGCAACGCAACTGGTATGTACAAGACGCCTTAATCCACTTGACCATCACGACCGGACATAATGAGGTGATAGCCGAGGCTATTTGAACCACCCCACCGCCGGCACTCGGATAGTAATCTTGGGCATAGCATTTTACCAAATCACCTCATTCTTTGGGGCACACGTGAGAACACAAATGCGAACAAGCCTGAATGGTCCCCAGGACATATGCAACTGAAAACTCACACCCCAGAAGTGACTCGAACCCATACTCCCAGATGCCACGCAACTGGTATGTACAAGACGCCTTAATCCACTTGACCATCACGACCGGACAAAATGAGGTGATAGCCGAGGCTATTTGAACCACCCCACCGCCGGCACTCGGATAGTAATCTTGGGCATAGCATTTTACCAAATCACCTCATTCTTTGGGGCACACGTGAGGAACACAAATGCGAACAAGCCTGAATGGTCCCCAGGACAATATGCAACTGAAAACTCACACCCCAGAAGTGACTCGAACCCATACTCCCAGATGCCACGCAACTGGTATGTACAAGACGCCTTAATCCACTTGACCATCACGACCGGGTGGTTCAAATAGCCTCGGCTATCACCTCATTTTGTCCGGTCGTGATGGTCAAGTGGATTAAGGCGTCTTGTACATACCAGTTGCGTGGCATCTGGGAGTATGGGTTCCAGTCACTTCTGGGGTGTGAGTTTTCAGTTGCATATTGTCCTGGGGACCATTCAGGCTTGTTCGCATTTGTGTTCCTCACGTGTGCCCAAAGAATGAGGTGATTTGGTAAAATGCTATGCCCAAGATACTATCCGAGTGCCGGCGGTGGGGTGGTTCAAATAGCCTCGGCTATCACCTCATTTTGTCCGGTCGTGATGGTCAAGTGGATTAAGGCGTCTTGTACATACCAGTTGCGTGGCATCTGGGATTTGCCTGAGTTTTCATAAGCCAAGTTTTCGCATATTATTATTATGAATATATAATTGTTTTTGCAAGGCCCGATTTGCCTACCTAACCTACCTAAACCTAACCTAACCTAACGTTTTCGGCTACCTAACCTAACCTAACCTATAAAGATAGGTTAGGTTAGGTTAGGTAGGGTTGGTTAGGTTCGGTCATATATCTACGTTAATTTTAACTCCAATAAAAACAAATTGACCTCATACATAATGAAATGGGTGGCTTTATCATTTCATAAGAAAAAAATTAGAGAAAATATATTAATTCAGGAAAACTTGGCTTATTAGGCAAATCGGGCCTTGCATAGTAGGCTGAGAAGTGCGTTCTGGCTACTAGGTACGACATATATATATATATATAATATATATATATATATATATATATATATATATATATATATATATATATATATATATATATATATATATATATATATATATATATATATATATATATACATAGACAACATTTACTTCGTGAATTGAAGGTGTGTTTCATACCTCAGCTTCAGTGATGTACGTGACCACATCTTTAAGCTGGGGAGCCTGGGGCGTGGCGCTGTAACTGAGCACCACGCCAACTAGCCTTCCTGTGCGCTCGTCCCTTGCTCCTGTGGAGAGTCCTGAGCGCAAGCAGCCTGGAATGTACTGCTCATCCATCTTCGTGGCGGCGCTCATGCCAGCACCTAGTCTCTGAGAATGAATGGTTTAGGGAATGTTAATAGCGATGTTGTGAGGAATGACTATGCTTGGGACGTATGTTGTTGTTCAATGTGTATGGTACTTTAGATGTTCAATGTGCATGGTATTTTAGATGTTCAATGTGCATGGTACTTTACATGTTTAATATAAATGCTACTTTACATGTTCAACATGAATGCTACTTTACATGTTCAACATGAATGCTACTTTACATGTTCAGTATGAATGCTACTTTACATGTTCAATATGACTGCTACTTTAAGTGTTCAACATGAATGCTACTTTACATGTTCAATATGACTGCTACTTTAAATGTTCAGTATGAAAGCTACTTTAAATGCTATTCAATTTCCAGGTTACTTTAAATATTGTCCAACTTCCTTTTGGCGAAGAGGAATTTCTTGCCGTGATATAGAGCAGAAACCCCAACATCTACAGTCGATGTTGACCAGACCACATACTAGAAGGTGAAGGGACGACGACGTTCCGGTCCGTCCTGGACCATTCTCAAGTCACAATCGACTTGAGAATGGTCCTGGACGGACCGAAACGTCGTCGTCTCTTCACCTTCTAGTATGTGGTCTGGTCAACATACTTTAGCCACATTATTGTAACTCATCGCCTGCATCTACGGTTGATAAATGGGGTGATATTTACAATGTTCTCTCTCGAGTAGTAATGGTTGACCAGAAGGTGGATGACGTCATCCAGGTCATCTGGGGTCAGCACCACGTACTCCAGCTCTGTGGCCTCGCTCATCCTCACTCGCGGGCACCTGTCGGGCGGGAAATAGAGGGTCACGGTGAGAGAGGGATTTATAAGGAAGGGAATGAAAACTATCAAGTTTATCTTGGCTCATTAATGGGAGAGTCTCTAGTCAGACACCATCCTCCTGTCACTATTGTTTGAATGAACGTTGCAAATGCAATCTGTTAAGAACAGTAGCGGGTCACTATTATTCACGTTTTCTCTGCATCGGACTCGATAGGTTAGGTGGGTTGCTTGGGTTCGTACACTTCTGGTTAGGCACAAAAGTTAGATTTTGTTAAGGAAGGGAAGGGAACTATCCCGGGGGGAAAGCGCCAAGCCATTACGACTATATAGCACTTGGAAGGGGTCAGGATAAGGATTTGGGATGAGACGGGGGAAGGAATGGTGGGCCCCAACCACTTAGACGGTCGGGGATTGAACACCGACCTGCATAAAGCGAGTCCGTCGTTCTACCGTCAACCCCAAAGTGGTTGGAGATTTTTTTTTAAATGAGTGGAGAATTCAGAACTGTTCTGTTACTGATACATATAGAAGTTAGAAAAGCTTTTAATAATGAACAAAATGCTAATAAAAGCATTTTATTAGCATTTTGAGGTTTTCAATTTATTAGCATGAGGTTTTCTCTGTAGGTTGTGCTGCTTCTCCTGGCCTTATAACCCAAGCAATCCTCCAACAGTTAAACAGTCTACCCCAAGCAGTTAAAAAAAAATGCTTCTTGTTTCTAAACAGTTTGGTACCCCCCTCCTGTCCCCCCCCCCACACACCCATTCCTAATAGTCTTATAATTAAACAGACTTCAACACTCTTCAGCTACTTCTAGTTCCAAAATATTTCAAAGCTTTCACGCGTTTGTATTCGTTTGGAATATATATTGTGATCACAATGTGCGACACATATCCAGGTCTCCCACATATTACAAATAAAATATTATGTCAATGTTATGTACATTGTAGAGTATCAGTATTTGTCCATTAACTGCTATTTGAGGTCAAAACATTCTCTATAGAGACCTGGTTTTCACGTCACAGTAGTTGAATCAGAGAATGCCACGTTTCTCCTCACACTCTGTATGTGTGTACCTGACTCTTTCTGTGTACGACTTTGCTAACCTCTGTACAAGTCTCTGTTAAACTATATATACCCAGTTTACATAATATACACTATGTCAACTATGTACATATCTCTGCAAGGCTTACTACACACCACTGCTTTTCCTTTTTATGATTCTTGGTCCAAATCTCAATATAACTCTATAACCACTCTATAAGCCTCTTCTCTAATTACTCAACCAGCCTCGGTCCTAACTACTCAATAAGACTCGGCCCCCAAACTACTCAAGAAGCCTGTACTAAACAAGAAAATGTATACTGTTCTTGATGACATTAACTAAAATGAATAATGTTTGCTAAGTAATTTTCAAGTCAACTTGGCCAGCGTGTGCACCCAGCAACCCATAAATCTGGGTGTGTATTGAGCAGTGCGCAAACTGTATCTGCGCAGAACGCGACACTAGACCGCCACCTGTTGTATTTTAATCAATCTAAGCGGCCGCTGAACACGCTATAGCCTAGTGTCTTCACCCTCCTAGAAGCTGACAAATACGATAATATGGAATAAATCACGAAAAATAGAGAAATGACAATAATAGCAATAATAATAATGAAGAAATCCATCAGGAGCCGTCATGAGGGCTCGAACCTATGCGTTGGGTGTTCCCGAACGGTCGTCAAGACTCCTGTTGGATTTGTTCATTGATATATCACGTTAATGTGATTTCTCTGTGTAATAATAATAATAATAATAATAATAATAATAACAATAATAATATAGTACGCCGCTCAATCACGAGGCAAACATTTATATATTAAATTTTATTTTAATATTTCGTCTGTTAATACATTAGGAGTTAAGTAAATATATGACCTTAACTACACATGAAAAATTATGTAGCTAAATGTGTAGGGAACTTTGCATGTCTTGGAAGGGTGGCGAAGTCCCGAGAACCCTGATGCCAAATGTTTATAATTTTCTACAACTCACAAATCGGATATATTAAATAGTATTCACTAATTATTTGGGATTCCCGTTCGGTTTAAGTTGATAGATTATATCCAAAACCGGGACCAGCATCCAAGTGAAGCTTGCTTCACTACATACTACCAAGTACCCAACATTCAGACACTTGAAAGCAGACAAAACACAGTTTCAACCCCGCTCCTGTGCCAGGTAAGTCCACTACGGGCTCACCATAACCCGTGCTACTTGGAACTTTTTGCACCGAGTAGCTGAATATTAACCAACAACAACAACAGACAAAAAATGGCTATCGGTGAATGTGTGTTTTGCTATCCACAAGATATTGTACATCACACACTTAGCTCCTGTATAACTCCCTCAGGGATAAACCACTATACAGTAGGTGCCACAGGTGACTGTACCGGAATGATCGTCCGTTTAAACGAAACATTCCATCAGTCAATAGTTTTTACATCTTTTTGGTGAATGGTCAACACAAAATGAAATAGATTTCTGGTATATACGAATTGTCCGGACAGCTGAACATTATAACTGATGTTCCAGCTTCAACCTCTAAAACAATTAAGAGAGTGATCGTTAAAAAATATAATTTGTTATTGTTTACTATTGTGTTGAAGAGCGTATAGTCACGTGCGCGACACTTCAGGTCTGCTGTCAATACCACATACTGACTCCACGAGCCTCTGCACCACCGTCTAGGTCCGCAGTCTTCCCTGTCTCACTCCTCCTCCGTATGTTAATCACCACAAGAACAGACAACTAGGAGGGGAAACACACACATACACACCCGCTGAGCTACGTCACTGACCTGGTTGTGAAACGAAGGCTGGTTTGACGAATGTCTTAACGTTTATGCTTGAAGTGGAACGGTATGACTGCTTCCAGGGGGTATCAGTGCGTGACTAGCTAAGGTGTGTCCTGCATTCCAAGTCTGCCGCAACCCAACCCCCCCTCCCAGCCACCCTCTTTCCCTCTCTCTCTCTCATGCTATTTGTCAATATTGATAACACAGTGTTACTTTGTTAAAGTGTTACAAAGTGTTAATATATATATTATCGATCTATGGCACTCTTACCTTCCTGTGTGGTGCTTGCCAGGTTTTCTTCCTCTCTCCCACCACTCAGCATTTCTTCCATATATATATATATATATATATATATATATATATATATATATATATATATATATATATATATATATATATGTCGTACCTAGTAGCCAGAACGCACTTCTCAGCCTACTATTCAAGGCCCGATTTGCCTAATAAGCCAAGTTTTCCTGAATTAATATATTTACTATAATTTTTTTCTTATGAAATGATAAAGCAATCCTTTTCTCTATGTATGTGGTCAATTTTTTTTTATTGGAGTTAAAATTAAAGTAGATATATGACCGAACCTAACCAATCCTACCTAACCTAACCTAACCTATATTTATAGGTAAGGTTAGGTTAGGTAGCCAAAAAAAGCTAGGTTAGGTTAGGTTAGGTAGGTTAGGTAGACGAAAAAACATTAATTCATGAAAACTTGGCTTATTAGGCAAATCGGGCCTTGAATAGTAGGCTGAGAAGTGCGTTCTGGCTATTAGGTACGACATATATATATATATATATATATATATATATATATATATATATATATATATATATATTATTATTTATATATAAACAGATACAATAGAATGATCAAAAACACACACACACACACACACACACACACACACACACACACACACACACACACACACACACACACACACACACACACACACACACACATACACACTGACACACACACACACACACACACACACACACACACACACACACACACACACACACACACACACACACACACACATTGATTGACAGTTGAGAGGCGTGCCGAAAGAGTAGAGCTCAACCCCCGCAAGAACAATTAGGTGAATACACACAAACATACACTCCTTTGCCCACTCCTCTCACATAACTATACCTACATATTGGAATAGGGAGCAAACATGGCAGGGAGACACCAAAATTCAGGTGCAGGTGAGGGACAAGATGATATATATATATATATCATCATTAGGGAGACGATCTTTCGCATGTGGAGCCAAATCAGTGAAGAACTGTGGGTAATGAGTGAGACAATAACCAACCTACAGGATGAGGTAAAGGCAGCCAAGGAGGAGATAAAAACACTGAAAGAGAATCCTACTCAGTACCAGATACGAACCATCAGGAATCTGGTAGTGTATCTGGAGAAAGAACTTCTACAGTACAAGTTTCATTTGCAGATATCATTAGAGAGATCCCAGAAGCTATGTTTGCAGTACAGGAAGCTGCCTTGAAAGTAGTTACTTCTCAGGAAGCAGCAAGATGTACTAGTCAGCTGATAGAGAGGAAAAGAGTAGTAGTAATAGTAGGTATCAAGGAACAACCAGGTTCTGGGCAGATGGAGTAGAGAGATAAGGACGAAAGTGTAGTGACTGATATCTTAAAATGGGTACAGATGAAGAGGACTAAACAAAATATAGAAAAAGATTTCAGGCTTGGCCAGTACAACAACGAGAGAGACCGGCTGATAGAGGTAGTATCTAGCAAAACTCTAGGGTCGCCTTTACGCTGCCACCACCAGACCTTGCACTGACCAATGATCGAGGTCTGGATCGATCATGCTAATTAATCAACCTTGGGGCTTCATCCCCACTAGTAACTTATGACTTTGACTCTTAATTTTGGAATTAATTAAACGGGAATGATAATCCTGATTCGATGTTAGAACCGGCGCCCAATTCAACTCGGCCGCGTGGGGACCACGTGACAAGAACCAGTTCACATAAATATAACTCACACATGGAATAATAAAAATGCAAATTACTAACTAATTAATTTATACAAAATCTAAAACAAAATTTAAAGAGGATCACTTCCTATGAATTTACCACTCCCTACTTGGCAATGAATTGGCTATCCCTATAAATAACAATAGCAACTATACCTCTATGTTGACCAGCTCAGATGTTGGTGCTGGTCTTGGGGGAGAGGTGAGATGGTTGACCTCCCCCAGTTGATCTCGATCCCACACTAATCTCTCCTCGTCTGGTCTTCCCCAGACTAGAGCATTGTATCCTTCCGCATAGTCTAAGTTTTACCAAGTTACTAGCAAGGCTTAAGTTTAACAATTAACCTCTGTTTGCACTGAAATTATCATAAAATAATATTATTAAACAAAGAAAAAAACATCAATCATAGATTTATCAATTTAAAAAGTTAAACCCCCCTAGTGCTCACAACATATAACCAGTGAGAAGTTTCACAAGAGTTTCCACAAAGGGTCAGATGGGAGATGTTTTCAGGGGTGTGAAGCAAGTCTTGTCCTGGTGTCATGTGCTGATCTGTGGCACAGCAGTCATGATATGGCATATGGCTCAGGATGCCACTGAACTAGAGGAGGTCCTCGTAGTTTAACAAACAGGTGATGATACATGAATTATGACAATTCTTGAGCATGTTGTTGTTATTAACCCCCCTCCAAAGGATACCTGATCAACCAGGCTGTGACTCGTACGTCAGGCTGCGAGCAGCCGCGTCCAACAGCCTGGTTAACCAGGAGGCCTGGTCGACGACCGGGCCGCGGGGACGCTAAGCCCCGGAAGCACCTCAAGGTAACCTCAAGGTATTACCAGGTTCATGTGACTGTATCCCCTCCCACACTCAGCAGTACTAATAGGAGTAACTTGTAAACAGCTCAGTAATGGGTGTAAATCTTGGGGGATGCGGCGTCCATGATCCTCCACATAGTCTCTAAAGGCATTTAGTGCAGAATAAGAAGAAAACTTAAACCTCTTACAGAGAGATAATATTTCAGCTTCTCCGTAATTAGGTGGTATTTCATCAGGCCAGCCGCCAGTAGTCTTTGTCAAGGACACACATTTCACTTAGCAGTGATTTATACACACTTTGAGGTTCAGAAGTTTGAGAGCCTTTCATGCATGTTGCCGTGACCATGCGGTGCTGCACATTGTTCATAAGACTAGTAAAAAACTGTTGATAATTAATGGAGACAATTTTCTTATTGCTTGTTATGGTAATTCTTCCAAAATTTCCCTTTTCAATTGCCTTTTGAGGTTCTAAAGTTCTAGTGTCAGGTTTCTCTTTTAGTCCATGCAATGTACCTTATGCTCCGTTGAATCAGTTTGTCTGTACACAGTCGAAGTAGTGTGCTTCTGTAGACACTCTGACAGTAAACCAAGTTCATGCAACGTGTCACACTCACATCAGAGCTAAATCCAATAGAAACTGTTCTGAAGTTAGTTTTATCAACAGATTTTCATAGGTTTTTCTATCACTTCCAAATCTTGTTTAATCTTTCTCTGCTATTCCAAATGAAAACACTGCCTCATAATTTTTCCACTCTGCTGAAACTGTTTGAAACGAGCTGGCCACCCACCTGGTGCTCAGAATACGGCCTATATTGCAAATCTGTTGTTCAAGTTGATATAAAAATTCTGATAGTTCCTTTTGATTTAGAGGTGATCTAATGTAAACTGAATTCAATTTGTAAATAAATGGTTGAAAATGGTTAATTCCATGAACTTCTCTAACTGAATCACCCACTACAAGTTCTAATCTGTGGTTAAGAAAGTACCAGATTATTATATCAGGGTAATGCTTCTTGAGAATTGTTGCAACGCCATATTTGACACAAAGCATGACACTTGCCCCATCACTAGCAAATGCTGCAAGGTTCTGTTTCCCAATATAAGTCATCAAACCCATGATAATTGAGACAGTCAACAGATGCGTAGCAATAGTTGCCGCTTTCTGGTCAGGTATTTAAATTAGATCTAAGAACATGAAATTGAAATTACCTTTCTTATCACTTTCACATTTCAAGTAAACTATCAAGGTTGTTTTAATGCTCAGGCTTGTTGATTCATCAATGAGAACAGAAATTTAGCAATTTATCTGCTTGATATGCTGGCATATTTTCTTTTTCATATTAATGGCTATGTGATTAATTATCTCTGTGGCACTAGTGTGGGAATGAAGTCCCATTCCAATGTCAACACCATTTTGCTTTTATAGTTCAAGTAAGCCAAAGTGATCAGAGTATGGTCTGTCATTCTGAGCTAAATAATATGCAGAATGCAAAATTGAACAAGTTGTCTTTAAATGCAAAGTATTCATGACATCACACAATTTTCCAAAAGTATCTTCACTAGCTACATTTTAAATACGTAAAGCAGTAGTGTGAGCTTTCGATAGTTTATGATCAACAATTTGTTTTCTGAGAGACTTCAAGCGTGTACTTTGATCTGCTCCATAATAGGATACTTGGTACATCTACCTCTCTTATAATAGTCTTAAACCCTTAGAAGTGAAAAGTGTTACATTACTTATGTTTGCACATACTTTACACCCAAGTTTATCATCCCTGAAGTCTAACCATGGATAGGTTTCCTTTTTTTTCTTCCACATTTCTTCAGTCCAAACACCTGAACAGGGATACAAGTTAGACTTCAAAGCACCATTACTTTCTGAATTGCACATGGATCCAGTTTGAAAATTTGAACTAGAAGCAGTCGAAACACAACTTTTGCCACTTTCACTGTTATCATTATCAGTCTCCTGTACGTTATTCTTCTTACACTCCTCATTTTGTTTACGAAAGAAGTCAACATTGTTTGCTTAGAAGCCATGATGGGGTTGTTTGTGAGAAAAAATGCTTCTGTATTAGAGAGAAATCCAGGGACCACCAGCCACCACTTTACTAATGCCACTGAAACACAGAAGCAGAGTTGCCAACTCAGTATTTCACACGACGCTAGAACCACCCCAAAAAGCACTAAATTATGTTGTGTAAATAAAGAATACCTGTCTAATGAACTACTGCTAAAGCCATGA